TCTGCAGCCAGACCCTCTCACAGTTGCCCAATTCTTCTTGGGCTAATAAAGTTTGCTCTTATACTTTTGGGAGGGTTCCAGCATTTGCTTTTCTATGGCCACCTGTTCCCTTTGTGATGTAAAGATCTAGTACACATTGTCTTGGCCACACAGTGCCTGGGAAGTGGCCCCTTCACCAGCCACAGCTGTGTTTACCCTCAGGATGATTTTATATCCTACTTAGTAAAATGCATGTCACTGTGAATCCACATTTATCCTGAATATAAATGACTAAAATATTTGCACAGCAATTGAAACCGAATGAGCTCTTGCTTGTCTCTATTACCCACCAGGGAACAAGGGATTGTTAACTAAGGCTACCTGTACCTGATTTCTCCTGTGAGACTTGACCATGCAGCTCTTCTTCAGCCTCAGGTAAGACCCACCAGCCTTCAATTCCTGAAGCCATATTTGAGAGACTCATGATCTCAGGAAATCCCTACTTTGCATTCCTTTTCCTGTAAAGTAGGTACATTGCTCATGGAAAGCAGAGATGCCTCCCAACAATGTCACCAACCTCATCCAAATCCTAGGAATTTCTATGTAGTTTACCTAGTAAACAGCCCTGGATAATGAAGTGCTTAAAGAAGGCCCATGTCAGAAAAGCTGGAGAAGGCTCCCAGTTGCTTTGAAGATGGAGGATAGAGAAATGGACCAAGGAAATCAGAAGGCCACTGAGGTCAGAAAGAAGGAAGAAATAAGTACTCCTCAAAGCCTGAAAAGAACAAGCTTTGCTAGCATCCAAGATACTCTCATTGGACTTCTGTTCTCTGGTTCTGAAATCTGGTATTTTATTTCATTGTAGGGCAACCTTTGGCAGCTTGTTACATCATCAATTCATGCCCAAATCCTGTAGTGCAAGCCTGCAGTGCTGTGAGAATTTTGGGAGCCAGGTATGGAAGCTTGTTACACATTTCACTCCATCCTCTGCCAAGAGGAAGCCTAGTGCTTGTGTCTCATCCCAGGCCCCTGTTCTCTTCAGCCACTGGGAGGAGACAGAATAGGAGGAAGAGTGGAGTTATCACTGCCTGACTTCCTGCTCTTCTGCACTCCAGAGGAATCTCTCAATGGCCATGTATTTAATGCCCTCTGACATTTAACGCAGTGCTCTGCTAGACCTCCCAATGAAAGGACTCCCTCAGTGCAGGAACAGGATGCACTCTGGGGACCCATTGGGTGGGCTGCAAGGACATAAATCTGCCAGTGCATTGGCCAGATGGCGAAGAGATTCCTATCCATTTTCAGTAAGAATGGGCATTGCTGCTGCCGATAAGCACAAACAGAACTGTACCTGCGATAGCCTTGATGGCAGTCTAACAATGTGAGTGCCTCTGATGGGAGGAATTCCTGCAGTCCTAGAGTGTAGCAAGGAGTGAGGCCTCTGCTTCTCATTTCACTTCAGTTGAATAGAAAAACTACAGGGCCATAAAACATCTGGATGCATTACAAGGTAATTAAGGAGTAATTTGGATCTTCTCTGGACTCCCTCAGCAAGGCTAGGAGAATGAAAAGGTGGGTCCCTCCTTCCCTGCTGAATGACAAAGGATAAGCACTTGAGCCCAGTAAGCTGACTGATCCTGAGAGCTCCTATGCCCCTGCCTGGCATCATAAATGTTCACACCACACACATACACACACACGCACACACACACACACGAATTCACTCATACTTATATACACATACATGGGCACATTCATACATACATAAACACATATATACACATGTGCATTCACATGCAGACAGTCAGCCACATATACACATATACATACACATCACACACGTAAACAAACATACATGAATACTCAGACACACGTTCATATAAACACACATACACTCATGCATTCTCATATGTACACACATGTAAACACATATATATGTACAAACTCATATTCACACATATCACACACATATTCATATACAAATATATTCATATGTACACATACATATGCACTCTCATATACATACATATACACTCACATACTTATATATACACTCACATTCACACACGTACACATGTATACTCATATACTCACATACACACACTATACACACATATTTAAACATTTACACACTCAGAAACACATATTCCCATACACACAAACACATACATGTATACTCATACACACATACACTCATATATAGTAACACATATATATACACATACACATAAATATACTCATACACACATACATATACATGCATGCATTTTACACACATTCATTTCCATATTCACAACACACATTCTCTCATACATATTACATATTTGTCTCTCACACACTCATACATGTTCACATGCATAAGTGTTTCCATACTTACATACCAAACACATATTCTCTCTCTTCTCACACACATACTTTCACCTCCACATATACGCACATCCACACGTTCACACATTCTCTCTCTTCCTCTGTCTCTGTTTCTCTCTCTGTGTCTCTTTCACATACTCACATACACTGTCTGATGTCAGTTAATGTGGCTGACATTGTACAAAGTTCATTCACTTTATTCGCCTCTTGGAAACCAGTCGGGATGAACAGATCAACCAGACTGCTAAATTGTTCTGTTTAGAATAACAGATTCTGGAGAGATGGCTCAGCTGTTAAAGGCTAGGCTCACAGTCAAAAATAGAATAGAAAGAAACCTGTGTCAATAGACTCTAATACAGACTGGATCACAACTGAACAAATTACAAAACAAAAGTTGCCCCTGAGAGCCACCTCCCTGGAGCCTGTAATACTAAGAAGGCCACATCCTCCGTGAAGAACCAGCAGCCATGGAAAGGGATATGAGGCTGTTGTGGGCTGGACACCATCAGTTCTTCCCTCTTTCATTAATTAATTCTCCAGAAATATCTTCTCCCTTACATGCTTGCCAGGTATCATGGGTTAGAAGTTCTGGTCTCAAAGTACAAGTAAACCTGGCAATTAGAAATTGTAAATGGATGACATTTGCATGCCTTTTAGAATCATGTGAAAACTGCCCATTGTCTTATGGTCTTCTTTTAAAGGTAAAAATGTCCTTGTGGTTGCACAACTCAAAATTACCTGTCTATCCATCTCAAGTGTGTACTGCCCCCGGGTTAAGCTATTCAGACATTCCTGGGTGTGTCCATTAGACTCGATACTTGACTCTGCATTTGTCCCTAAGAAGTGTGGTCCCTGTTGGTGGGATAAAATGGAGCACTAACCTATTTGACCTGGGTGATTGGGGTTCCTTTCCTCTGCCATGGCCCCCTTCCCAGATGATGCTGTAGAGGCTCTGGAGACACCTCCTTGCTTCTTCAGATCTGGCCTGATTTGCTTCAAACAACAGAAGCAGGACAGAACTGTACATTCAACTCTTAATAACTTCCTTTCTTTCTCATTCCCACCAGTCCTTTGGGCAAAACCAAAAGAGCACACGCAGGTTTTGGGAAGTCACATCTTGTAAAAGGTGCAAAGAGCAGCAGCAGCATCCATGGAGGCAAATGAAATCATTTCCAGGAAAAACCATGCCAACTACTTCTCGAAGGATCTGAAACTCTCCCGCTCTTTCTGACCCATGCACCTTATTTTGTCTGAGAGCCGGAAGCGACTGATCTGTAGGGCTTGTAAAGACACTCTGGTGATGAAAATGTTCCCTCTAATTCAGATGTCATTTCATCAAAAGAGAAAAACACAGTCACAAGTCCAGTCTCATCGTCCCTGAACACGGGGACATTTTAATATTTTTTCTTTTATTTTTTCCCTGGTAAAATATACACCTAAGACATCTTTATTTTTCTTTCATCAGCTGGAAGACTCTCTGGGGAACGTTCCTCTTAAGTGGAATAGACATCCTACATCGTTGTTTCTCATTAATTTAAGAACAAATCCAGTTTCCTAAGAGCAACCACTTCCATGCCCCTCAGACCTGTGAAGAGAGCTAAGAGGAGCTTAATATGCTGGCTTCTAATTGGCTCTGATTTAACTGTCAGTGTAAGCTGCTGTCCTCTTGTTCAGGTACAGATAATGTAAAATAAAAAAAAAAAGAAAACACACACAACCAACCTTATAAAATACCTTCTAAGATTAAGCAACAATTTCCTTTTAAAAAGTCAAGATTTCATGTCCATCATTCTGGCCTTTTAGACTGTATAACCACTCTCAGCATGGAAAATAAGGCCAGCCTGGTGTGGGGCTATAATCTCATCCACTTGGACAACTGAGGCAGAAAGATTGAAAGGTCAAAGCATTTTGGAACTACAGTATGAGTTCAAGGACATCCCAGGCAACTTAGTGAGATCCTGTTTCCAAATAACAAGTGAAAAGAGGCTCGAGGTACAGCTCAGTGGTCAGTAGAACATTTGTCTAACATGTGTGAGACATGCACAGTCTCCAGCACCCCCCTGAAATGATGCTTTGTTAATCCATGTACTTGGAGGATAGGGCTGCTCCATGTACCACTCATAAAATGTGCATCTGCCTGAAAAGATGCTTCTGAGAGGATGCTGGATACTCTTCTCCAACCCTGGTCAGAAGCAGCCACCTCCTCGCCTAGCAATCCCTTCTACTGCACAAAAGGCTCCTTGTCCCACCCCCATCTGTGGGCTTCCTTTAATACATAGCGATGACCTCCATGGTCCAGGGTCTAGAATGATCCATGGGGTGGAAGGAAAACACTCTTATTTGTCTACCTCTGCTCTCCAGTGCAGACAAGAAGGTATATGAAATGAAACCCAAGGACAGCTAGTGACCACCTGCACTGTTCCTGCACTAATGACCTCATGGGATGCAATGAGAAACCTAAGCCCACCACTTGAAAGGGTCATGTCTTCAGTGGGAAGTGTCATGGAAACTTAATTTGTGAGTCTACAGTCCTCAACATGACTCCATTATAACCACTTCCCAATGTAACCAGGAACAGCATCAGTTCCTGCTCCTGCCCCCCCAAAAAAAGAGCACAGCTCTTCCCTAGTGCCACCACAATCCCTGTTAATTACTTGCTGAGGCCTCCAGCTTGCGTTTGTGGGGTGGGTCCTCGATGATCCTCTTGAGGTCCCCACGATTCTTCAGGTCCACTGGCTTCTCCCAGACTGACAGCTGCATGGTCGGGTTGAAGAAGAAAACCCGGTCATCACCTGTCCAGACCACACACCTGTGGAAGTTGAAAACTCACCTCAGTCACTTTTAGAGACACTTGGTGAAGAGCAGTGCCCACACCCTTCTCTTAGAATGTCCTTTAGCACTGAACTCCATGGGTTGTAAAGACATTCTTGGAGACATCGAAGATGATGGCGGAGCCCTTCCTTGGGGACACTGTGTGCTCCTGCTCACACTTCTTCATTTGGTTAAGCGGTTTTATTTTCATCCCCTTTCAGCAGGAAGGATTCCACGTTCAGAGATGCCAAGAAACCTTCCAAGACCACAGAAAGCCACACCCTCCCCAGCTCAGTATACTGCCCAACTCAGTTCAATGATATTTTATCTCAGACCTGGGTGCCTGTGTCCCCAGCTCTAGGTGTCTATTTCACTGCCACCCCATTCCACCCTGCACTTCCATCAAGGAGTACATCCAGCTGAGATGATAAATGGACCACTTGACCCAGCCACTGAGCCCATTCTGCTCACCATGTTCACTTTTACAAAAGCCTCACACTTTCATATATAGACACATAAGATAGAGGGAAGGAATGGTGTGTTGTTATGAAACACCTTGAGAGAATGAGAAACAGAGATAGACACAGAGAAAGAGATCCCTGGCCACTGGCCTTGTATGTCTGCTGTTCTTAGGCAGCTACAGACAGTTAGCCTGACCAAGGCCGATTTCAGATCCAGACATCCCTTCAAACTTACCTTGGGCATGGCACCCCTCCCTGGCCTCAACTTTCCATAGTGGTGTCTGCGAGGCCTCTAGTTATTCCCCATGATTCTCTGTGCTACAGAAAAGGGTAGGACAGGCTGTGCACACAAAAGCCATGTCCAAGAGAGGACCCCCGGGCACCTGGAAAGTACAGTGAGACACTGCTGGGCCTTCAACATCTTGTTCACATACCACCCTAGAAGGCTAGACATGCTTGTTTGCATAGAAGGATCTGCTCCATGTTTAGGCTAGTTATCTTTGTTCCATGAGCTGTGTTGAGTGCCCAAAGCTGGTTCCCATGTGCTAACAACTGGCTGCATTAGGACCCTAATGACTTGAGGCAGCCATCAGATATCTTGATCAGGCCAGGTTCCATAATGGACCAGATTAGAATGAGTCTTCAAAATACCCCCATTCAGATCCTACAAATAGGTTGCCCCACATGACAAAAAGTATTTAGATTAAGATATGAGTCATAGATGGGTCCAAAATGCCTTCATGGGGTCCATGTGAGGGAGTAGGAGACATGTGGATAGAATTAGAGAACACACACAAGCATATGTGCACATACTCATATGTATATGTATATACATGTGCATTCACATACACATGCATACACTTTCACATACATGCACACACTTTCATACTTATACACACACACACACACACACACACACACACACACGCAGAGAATAACAGGGAGGTGCCATATTACTGGCCTTGAAGGTGAAAGAAAAGCCACAAACCCAGAAATTAGGTGTTCCTAAAAACCTGGAATAGACAAGGACATAAATCTGAGATCTGCCCCTCCAGGTATGCCCATTGTCCTTGTTTCCATGATGTTCCAGACTCTGCTCCTATAAAGATCTGTAGTCTGGATGTAGGACAGAGCAGCCTAGAGAGTGGATCCTTGGTGATTCTTGCATGGCTATCCAGGAAAGCCTTTGTGCATAGCTCATTTCTCTCCAGTAGTAAAGGTACCAAAGAGCCACTTTCTCCAGCAATTGCTAGTGACTTGTGAACTCCACAACCCTTAGAAGCTGGTCTTTGTGGACCAACTAATGGGACTTCACCCTTGGGAACCCTAAGTGTGGTGTCACCACCCATTAAGCAGCACCCAATATCATCAGCTATGTGTTCAGAGCTTTGACTACGACGGCTTGGTTTTGATATTTGAAAGAACACTGTGACCTGTCTTCTCGCCTCCTGTCTTACAGCACTGGGCTTGCTCTTGCCCTTCCAGGGAACACAAGATAGCCCTACTTTACCATCATTGTCAATAGGGGAGGGCAGTGGAGGCTGTTTTATTCTGAGTGTCTACCTCTCTAGTGGAAATGGGAGCATAGAGAAGGAGCACTGTGTCCTGTACCCAAGGCCTTGCCTTCATACTACCTTGGTCTGTAGCAAGCTCAGAGATGTAGGTTCTCTGACATCCTCACTGGGCTTGGAGGGAGGCTATGTTGTGTGCAATACAGAAGCTAGGGCATGAGAAGTCTTACTGAGTGTCTAACTTCCAGTTCCCACTCTTACATAAGTTGCTGCCAGGACTCTGATCATGGTCACTGTTGTGACCCCTTCCCACACATCTATTTTATTGGGTAGGGATGCACAGGAATCTGGATTCTCTGGCATGGCTTTCTGAAGTCCTTCATTGTCTGAAGATAGTTAAAAGGGGACAGAACACAGCTGGGCTCCACAGACAGCCCCTGTCCTCTGAATCCTGGTCTTTTTCTTCTCCTTCTCTGGAGACCCATCAGGGGCATGTAGCCCTTACATCTGTCTCCCATTCACTGTGTCTGAGGAGCCCCATGCAAGATAATCCCTATGCTGGGAAAGGGCTAAGCATCCAGGAGAGTTTGGTGTCAGCAGCTGAGGGGACAACAGTGGAGGTAGGCCCTTATCTTCCCAATACCTTCTGCTTGGTTTTCAGGTCCAAGGCCCAGGCTCTCCCAGGAGGCCTGCCATGGAAGTAAATGATGAGAAATGCTTACTGAGAAGTGTCCAGCCAATTACCATCTGCTGGTCTGAGAATGCATTGGCATGTTTAATTAATGCCCAAATGTAGAGGTATTTGAATGAGATTTACTAGGGAAGAGGACTTGGGAGAAGGGGCAGAGGACCCAGGAAGGGGAGGATGTACAAGTGAATGTCAACTTTCAAAGAGACAGAATTTGGGGTGATGCTGAGGCAGGAGGGGGAGGGGGGCACATGCAGCAGCCTCAGCCAATCCTAGCCCCCCACAGGGTTCTAGCAGGCTCTCCTAATGTGGAACAGATGGAGCTCTGCAGGTGGTCTGCAGAAACCCCTAGCTGTCCAGAAGGCTGGGGGTGACACACTGACTTCTGGAAAGGCTCTGGTCAGAGAACGGGATTGGGCATAAGAGGACGAGAGGAGTGAGAAGCTGAAATCAGATAAATGAAGACAATTCCTCTGCCTCTCGGTGGAGGTGAGCAGGAATCCTGCCCCAGAGTGCTGGAGTTTAATCACAACAGGCTGTCAGCTGTGGGCCCTGGGCTACCCCATAGAGATTCCCCATCAACTGGAAAGGTGGGCACCTGTACTTGGACAGTCAGCTTCCATGTTGGGTCTAGACAGACACATCTAGGCAGGTGGATCCATATAGGTGGTCCAGGAAATTACGTAGTAGGAGTCTCTCCTACCGAAGGCTCCCAAGACCTTAGGCTAAACAACAGATGAGAGCTCCTGGGCACATGGTCTCCAGTGGAGGGAGCAAAGGGCAGGGCTGTGCAGGTTAGAGTGGCCTCCAGAAGGGGCCACCTGAATCTCACCACAGACCAAAGCAACGCAAGGGAGCTAGACTCCTTGCCTTCTGCAACAGTGTTCCTTTCCCTCAAGTCAAAGATGCAAGGACTCTTGAGGACACTATCTCAAAAGTCTTTCTTCTTGGAGGCCCAGGTCAGCATCTCTGGGTTCTCAAGTGTCTTCTCCATATCTCCCAAGCTCTCTCATCCACCAAGTAAACAGACTTCATACCTCAAGATTTACATTTATTTGCCCAAATTACCTCAGGCCTCATTTTCACAAAGATGAATCTTGGTTGCACATTCTGAGTTTTGTGGGAGGCGGTGGCTGAGCTCAAGTGCAAAGCCACACCAGTGCATCCCACCTCAAGAAGAGCTGGCTCTCTGTGGTACCTCAAGGAGGAGGGAACATCGCCTGCTTCCCATCTTGCCACCACCAAACTTCTAAAGCCAGGGAGGAATGGAGCTAATTAGAGGCTTAATGGAGCATTAGTGTCTAGGGGGAGGAGTGACAATTAACACAGTACACATTTATATCCAGGCTGCAAAGACCCAGTTCCTGTGCCCGGGGGAAGCATGTGGAATTGAACTGAGGACCAGTGACAGGTAAATAGATGTGGCTCCCAGGAGGAAATCTGCCCAGCCACTTGTTCCAGTTGGTTTCAACTAGACGGAGCTGGCTATGACATGCAAAATTAATTTTATGTTTCATTTTATGCCCATTTTAAATACATGGATAGCTCCTCTTCTCTAATCATACCACATAATTCCTGGATGGCAGCCATATCCCTCTTCTCGAAAAATGTCCCCAGATCCCGGAGGATGTAATTAGTGCACTGGAGTTATTTAAATCTGATACAGGATCCCTACACCGAGAAGCCCCTTGTGTAGAGATCTGGTGGTGGTGTTTTGTTCTAGAAAAGGGTTTTTAGTAATGAAGTCGCCCTTTGAACAGCAAATTCTGACATGTGGGAGAATCACTGTTGCTCAGCCCACTGAAGTGGGAAATCGAGTCTGGCCTGCTGCCTCCATGAACCCTGGACAAACATACTTGTGGCTTCTTGCTCTATGGACTCTGCCCACCATGCTCTGTTCATGACTTCCAGATAAAGCTTAGAACTCAATGGCTCTGGTTTGCCATCAATGGAAAAGCAGCTCCCCTGTCCCCTTTGCTGTTGTCTCTACAGGGGACCAACCCGGACAGGGCTCTGGATCCTCTGTGGCCCAGTTTCAGGAGAAGAAGGGGACCATGAGGCTCGTGGAGGCTGATCAAGGAGATGAGAAAAACATACTTTCCAACCCTACCACTTTGGCCATGCTTCCCCCCACCCCATTTACTTCAGAGTGAATTCACGGGGAATAGGGGCATTGTATGTGATACTCAGGACAGGGATAAAGGGCAGCTGACACATGAGTGTCAGAAGCACTGTGCTTGAGAATGCTTATAGCTTTATGACATGACTGTCACATCCCCCATACTAAGGTTGGTCCAACAGTGATGCTTGCCAGAGGAATGTTTCTCAGGGATCTGGA